CCTTCCATACAGTAGGGTCAGGCCAGGTGTACCTCATCAGCAGGGGGAGGAAAACAGGGAAAATCAGCTGGACCTGTGAGTGCAGGGTGGTGGGGGCAACTGGGACTTTGCGCAATGGTGCTGGGGTGGCTGGCCACAATGTGGCACTTCAGGCAGCATTTCTCAGTGGCAGCGGCAGTGCTGGGGCTGAATTAGAGGCCTGGAGGCAGTGGAAGTTGGCTGAGACTGCTGAAGGTCCTAGGCCTCTAGTTCAGCTCCAGCCCCAGCACTGCTGCTGACGAGTGCCACTGTGCAGGGCAGCCAAAAGGGAATAGATCCCTGGGGGGGGGGAATAGGTGCATGGGGGGAGTTGCAGTGTGGGCAGACTGCCAAGCGCCTGAATTTTAATCACATGATGGTGGGGTGCTGTAGTGGCCGTAACTTCGGGCATGGATTGTAAGTCCATTTTTTCAGCACCGTTGTAATTTTGAAAGGTTGCTGAACAAATGGTCATGAGATGATCAAGACAGCTTTGAAGAAACTCCATTCAGAATCGAGAAAGTTGTTTGCAATATCTTTATGAATCTGAAACACTAAATATTCCTATCTTGGAATGAATCTCCATTGAACAAAGTGGATATACTTTTCAGGATGTAATGATACAGTGATAAAATGCTAAGCTGTATGCGAAATATTGATGTAGATGGGGATGTTTTCACTGGGAACAGAGTGTGCAAAGAAGATGTGAAGATTGTCTCCTATCCCTGTGAAATTTCAGATATGGTTTCAGTGTAGATTTAAAACCACATGCCTAGGAAAATCTGACAGCGAGGCTTGGGAAAGGCTTCAGTCTTTTCACAGCCACCGAGTCTCTGCTCCTGACTGTCTTCCCTGAATAGCAGGGCCTATAGTAAATACACACACACTCTCTCTCTCTCTCACACACACACATACACACACACAGAGAAGCATATAATGTATAAGTTGGTTTCAACCTGTTACAAAATGAAAATCAAAATATGCCTTGCAAATACCAGATGCTTGGATGTAATGTGGCCGCTCTGGATGCGCTCCACTCCCCTGTACAGATTTTAATAGTCATTTTCATCCTCTGCTGCTCTAGTTGATGGTAGGCACCATGTTGCGCCTAGAGGTAGGCAGCAATTTGTCGCTATCATCAGTGCTCTGTATGCAACAGAAAGGAAACAACAAATTCATTAGATCACAGGTCTGCAAGGTGAAGGAAAGATGCTAATGCCTTTATAATGAGATGCAAAGGAGCTGCTGGTGACATTTCTCAGCAGCATGTTTGTGTGTTCGTGTGTGCTCTTACACTGCCATTGAGGTACAGAGAGTGACATAATTTATTTCCTCGGACATACAGCTGGTTTCATGGTGGAAACAAGTCCATGTACTTTAAAGTCAGATCTATACGTAAAACTACATCTATATAGAGTGGAGCAGGTGAGCACTGAACATTGGTAAAAAGGTAGCATAGGTGATAAATATGGATTTTTCCCCTTGTACCTATCTGTATCTTTCATCTCTATGGCCCAATTCTCCAGACACATTTCTTCCACCCAGATTGCTTCAAAATGCAAGCAAAAAATGAAATCAAAAAAATGAAAGTGAGGAAACAGATGGAGTGCAGAAAAGCCCAGTGTAGAAAAAAAAATCCAGCAGATAATGCCATGCAGCCTTTCCACTCTTAAAATTAAACTGTTCTATATGATTGGAATTGATCTGTATTTAAAGACACAGATTTGTTCTTCTTACATATAGCTTGAGAGCAAAGATTGAGTTATGAATTGAGATAACTCACTTCAGCCTAGTTCTTTTGCAAATAAAACCACAAGGAAACATGAAGGGAGACACAGTGCACTGTCTCTCAAACTCTTTTTTTCTTTCCTGATAGAAAGGGATATATGGGGGGTGGGGGGGAGGTGAGACGAGATAGCAGAATTGACTTATCCTAAAGGAATGATTGAAAAGCTTACTGAAGTGGTTTGAATAAGCTTCCTGGATTACGGATATGAACGTTTTGAATATTTTAAGCACTCAATACAAAGGCAGTACTAATACTAGTAGTAAAAGTAGTAAAAAGTCTATCCTTCTTTTTAGTAATGTTTAAAATTAAGGTTTTATGGATTTATATATTTTATGTTCTAATGTTTGTTGTGAATTTGCCAGAGTTCCCCCATTGGGGGGAGATGGGCGGTTGAAACATTTAAATAATAATAATAATAATAATAATAATAATAATAATAATAATAATAATAATAGAATAACAGAGTAAAAGAGCCTCATTCCACAATGTAGCAAATAAAAATATTTATGTATGGACAGAAACACTACTAATGTCAGAAGGATAATTACAGGTAATGAGGAAGATCCCTGACTGCTAGCTTGGGTCAGAATATAATATATATAACATCATGCACAGTTTTAAACCTTGATATCTATAGTATGCTCTGGTGTAGACAGCTCTGTTAATCCATCATGCCTTTTCCAATTCTTTCCCTAAGTCTGGGAACTAGCCCTGCTCCTGCCTACCTATCAACAGTACTGGTTACCAGCAAGGAGTACTCATTAGGCTGCTCTTTGTTTCTCTCATAATGATGCCACAACTATGATCCAAGTACTGTAGATATTGGGAAATGTAATTTCCTCAGGGCAACTGAATTCTTCCTCCACTCCCGTACAACACCAAAATTTCTCCATAGGGATAAAAGAGATTATAGGCAGAATGGGAGAGGGAGGAGAAGTCCTTTTGTGCCTATGACTTTCATATGTGCAAGTTTGGATTTAGTTCCTGGAAAGCAGATATGCAAGGCTACACAAGACAAATAAAGTAACTACATTTTTGCATTTTTGATACTGCTCTGCCTACACTGAAGACACCAAGAGGACTTGAAAAAAAACCTTTGGGACTTCCATGGTACTGTGATTACTGTTGTAAAACTCTAGGTCAACTAAGAGAAATGGTTGTTAGAAAATGGAAGAATCCATTATTTCCATTATTTTGATTTGGAATGATGTTCCAAACCAAAGCAGAACTCATAGAGGCATAGTACCTGCATCATACTGAAGCACCCATTTAAACAGGCCCAACAAAACACAGTTCGTATCATTAATCTGCCACTGATCCGGTAATGAAACAGACTGCAACCAACCCACTTAAAATTGGACCCAACAGTCATTCACAAAGATCTTACAGAATAAACATGTTATCAGTGTTTTTTTGCTATCAGTGGAAGAGAACAGAGGTAGCCTGAACTCCCTTAACAGATTATCCATACATGTTAACATATATACTCAGACAATGGTCCTAGAATTGCTGATATAAAACTGGGAAGGCAGTTGCTCTAGCTGAAGGATTCAGCCTGTGTTCACCCTTTTTAATAGATTCAAGCCCAACAAAACAAATAATGCAGTCCCTAGAAAGGCTTAAACATTGCTACTATTCTTCTGAAAATATAAATACTGTTTGTCTAAAGTATATAAGTATAAACTATAAATTCAGATAAACCACCTAAAAACCTTCACCTATAAAACAAAGCACAGGTAGCATATAAGCATAAATCACTTGTGTTAGATGAAATCATGCTTTGTATTTTCTTTGCTGTGTATTTTGTAGATTTTTTTTTACTAAATACCTGAACCTTTGATATGGATGCAGTGTTATCACTTTTTAATTATATTAATACATGAGTTTGGCACTACAAGCATTATAGTTTGTTGACAATCAGATTACAGAGAAAGCATCATTCATATATAAATATTTGCTCTCTTCTAGAATATTAAAATGAGTTTTATCACTGGTTGAATGATCAAATATTCTTTTTATGGTTCCTTTAGTAAGAATACTTTAAAAATAGTTTGCATCAAGTTGAATAAGTAATAAACATTTGCAAATCAGCTAACCATCTTTCTACTGTCAGTATACTACAGAAAAAGCTCAGGAATATTACACATTTTTAAGAAGCAAAACAAAAACCTGGATTTTTTTATCTATTGCTGTAAAGGAAATGCTTCCCTCTCTTATAACCACAGATAATTATTTTACAGAGATAATTTATCAGCTCATTGTAGCATACATATCCCCCCCCCCC